AACTGCTGATCCAGAGGCAGGTGACTCTCATGAGATCCAGATCAGCCTGGTCTACATAGTGAGTACCAGGCCATCTGGGGTTACAGGGAGACCCTGTCTCAAAATATAAATAAAAATAAAAAAATAAAAAGGAGGAGGGGGAGGAGGGAACAAAATAAAACAAATAACAGCAACAAAGCCAGACTGACTCTCAGGAGAGCAGACAGTCATCTTTGGATGAGAGAACATTCTGAGAAGTTGAAGGAGACTGTCTCTTTCAGTTCAGTTCTCCTTTACTGGCTAGAGGCACAGAGACACCTTTGTCCTTGAGCTTTTTTTCCTGAGTCACCTTGGATTCTCTGAACGTCAGAACCTCAAAGGCAGATCGCACCCCCCCAGGTGCAGTAACTATCCATGAAGGCTCCAGACTATACCCTTGAGCAGGGCTCTCTCCTGAGAACCAGAGATCCCTGAAGCAACTGAGTCAGGAAAGAAAGGTAAGAAAATAAACAGGTCATAAGACGGGACAGGAGCCCTTGCCCGGCTCGCCTTTGCCTTTGCGGAGAGCCAAGAAACTTCAACACAGCCAAAGAGTTGCACTTACAAAGACATCTCAAACAAAGGTGTTAAAGGCATTAAACTATGCTTACTTAGGGTCAGAATGTTTGTAAGGTTAGTCTAACCACAGCCACGCCCGTCTCTCATCCTTAAATCTAAACATTATAACCAATCTTACAATTCTACTTACAAAAGGAAATTCTTTGTTTTTTGAGTCAAGATCTCACTATGTAAGCCTGACTGGTCTGGAACTCTCCATGTAGACCAGGCTAGCTTCGATCCCACAAGCATCTGCCTGCCTCTACCTCCTGGGATTAAAGGTATGTGCCACCACACCGAGCCAAAAAAGAAATTCTTTAAGAAAAATAAACCAGTTCATGTATTCTTACTTATTTTTTAAGCTTTACTTAAATTTTAAGTTTTGCTTAATCTTTAAAACCTTGTAAATTTTTCCCTTTGAGCAATGTGATTTAGAAAGCCACAGGGATATACATGTGTGGATATACAATGGAGATATATGTATATATGTATGTATTGCCATTGTAAAGACTCATGTGACTGTCTCCTAAGAAGCTTCATTCATAAGGTGCTATGCAGGCTGTTGGGGTTGGAGGGAGTCATCAGAAGTCTTAACCTTAACCAGCAGTGGATCCTGAATGCTACAATACTGACCTGCCAGGCCAGATGAGCCCACTGGTAATAGTGGCATAACTGTCATTGGGGGTAACCAACTGCTTTCTGATAGGATTTGAGACCTGCCCCACAGGAGGCACATTTGGCACTGTAAACCTGGTCAAAAGTTTATGGCTGGTGGAAGTCACAGGCCCTACTGGAAAACCTATTTCTGTTGATTTGCTAAATGGACACATTGTCAAACAGCCTTGATAATGTTTATGTTCTTACTGCTGTTCTCAGCCTTGGTCAGAGTGTTAGGGTCCATGACTCAGTGGGTCTCTTCTGGAGAACAAATGCACGAGTATGGAGATGCAAAAATCAAGCAGAGTTTTATTAAACCAGCTAGCTGGAGCCCACCGTCCTTCCAAGACAAGCAGGTCTGGTTAGAGCGATTGACCCTGAGGCAATTTTAGGTAAAGATTATATAGGC